CATGCATGTGTTAAGGCAATCCATAAAATCAACAACAGATGTCACTGGGAAAATTCCCGCGCACTTTGTCGCGAAACGTCGAACTTTTACGTGACTCGCGTGACCATTTTTTGGAAAGATACACCGTCCATTGACGGTCTGTGCAATCGTCGAAAACACGAACGAAGAAAATAAAATTATCCACAACGAACAAAAGAAAAAAATTACTATAGGGAAAACCTCACTGCGTTATGGTGAAACAAAACGGCCGGGAAAGTTATCAAACCCACCCCAACCCTGTTGAAAAATAAAAAAAATCCGACCCCCGCATTCGTCTTCAGTTCGGAGTCAAATAAATCCTGCAAGTCATATACCGTATTCGCGACTTAGTTTCATCACTTACATTGAGACATGTCAAGCAATTTCTTCAATGTCTGCGTGGGAGCTTTTGTCGTTACAACATGCAGCTATAAGTAAATAGAGAAGGAAAGAAACACATGACGTTGAAGCCACTCCTTTGTTGAAGAGATTACGCCACCTAAGAGCAAAACTACACGATCTTGTTTCCTCAGATTGTTACACCCCTCATAAATACCAGCCGTTTTTGTTATTCTATACATACATTCCATACATTTCCTTACACACATTTGCCTTATGACCAGAATTAAAGTCTGGGTGTATTTTCACTGCAGGGATGGAGTACACTTCAGAGGAATTGAACTACTTTCGCATTTGTTACATCGCCTTTAACTTGGTTCCCGAAGGACTACGAAAGCTCTTCAAGCAAGAATGGGATTTGCGTTACAAATATACGTCTGGAGAATGGAAGGACACGCCAAAGAATGGGTCAGACTTCTACAGTAAGGAGTCTCCACTAAGCCGCTCCAAGAATGCACGATATCTGGCGACTATACAAAACGGTAACACGGCAGAGTGGGACTGTAGCTGTTTGGTTTTCGCGATCCTGTTCTCAGATAGCATTGGCACAACGCTTAGGTGCACCATCAAGAATAAAGTCCATGATCTTCGTAAAGTCCGAAATGACATTGCTCATCCTATCAAGGTGAATCTTACTGATGCTAAATTCCGGCGTTACGTCACAAAGGTGTTGCTGGCGTTCAGCTCTTTGAGTCTTCCGACCAGTGATATAAAGGCGGTTGAAAACCAGATGAACTTTCCCACGGCAGAAGTAAACGACTTGATGGCAAAGGTTGCTAATCTTCGATCGCAAGTGAAAGTGGCCCAAGACACGATACAGAAAAAGGAAGAGCAGGTTAAATGTCTTACGCAAGAGATTCATTCCAAAGTCAAGTCTTTCTGTAATCTCACTTTCAAGGCATCTCACCGCATCATAAGACGTTCAAAAGACGTCACAAGGATCCTGGCAAAAATGCGAGAACTTGACGATGGAAGTAACGGAGCAGTTAGTACCATTTATTTATCAGGAAATCCAGGATGTGGCAAAACGCAACTTGCGCGTCAAATTGGAGAAGAGTTCTTTGTAGCAGGATCAGGTGAAAGTGAAGGCTTAACGTTCGTTGCAACCCTGAATGCCGAAACCCTTGAAACGCTAGCTGACTCGTACCTGAGTCAAGCTAAACAGTTGGGAATTACTGAATACGTCCTCGCCAAACTGGCTACCTTAAAAGAATCTAACCCCAAGGAAAGAATTCAGCAACTCCGGTGTTTAATTTTCCCGCAGTTTAAACAGTTCTCAAAATGGTTAATAATAGCAGACAACGTTGTTAACCTGTCCTTGGTTTATGAGTACCTACCTCAAACCGCCAGTGAAGAGTGGGGTCACGGTCGGGTGCTGATGACAACTCAAGATAGCAGTGCAATTCCTACAAATGCTCCTCATACTTACCATGAGTCACTCAGTGAAGGACTGCAGCCCGAGGACGCAGTGGAGTTATTGAAACAAGTATCGGAAATGTCCAATAACGAGAAAGTTCAAACGGTTGCTGAGGCTCTAGACTATCAGCCGCTTTCCTTAGCAGCCGCTGCAACTTACGTGAACTTTGTGAGTCGTTCTTCAACCTATGACTGGTCAACCTTCTTGACAACGCTTGGAAATGTCAAACGTGAAGTAACAGAAGAACGTCTTACTAAAGTGAATCTTGCGTATCCGAAAAAAATGACTGAAGTAATTCAATTGGCAATAGAAAAAACTTTGAAAAGNCCTGAGGACGCAGTGGAGGTATTGAAACAATTATCGGAAATGTCCAATAACGAGAAAGTTGAAACGGTTGCTGAGGAACTAGACTATCAGCCGCTTTCCTTAGCAGCCGCTGCATGTTACGTGCAATTTGTGAGTCGTTCTTCAACCTATGACTGGTCAAACTTCTTGACATCACTTGCAGATGTCGAACGTGAAGTAACAGAAGAACGTCTTACTCAAGTGAATCTTGCGTATCCGAAAAAAATGACTGAAGTAATTCAATTGGCAATAAATACAACTTCGAGAAGCGATGAAGTTCTTCGCCAGACATTTCTCTTTTTCTCGCTATGTGATTCGGAACCTCTACCAATTCAAGCTGCTGTCAATTTTGTCAATAATCGCACCTCGCGACAAACTGACGAGTTAATCAAAGCAAACATTTTAAGCTCTTCTTTAATTATGCGTTTATACAGCGAAGATGAGGCACCCAGCTATCTAAGAGTGCACAACGTTGTTCATCAAGTACTCAGGAAAATGTCACTCATGGAGTTCACAGAGAAACACGAGTGCTTATCTGCAGCAGTTCAGGTTTTTCACTCCCTTATTGAGTCGGAGCAGAATCATTTGAGCGAAAGTGGCGACCGTTGCGTATTGCTACGACGGATTACAACTCATTGCAAAGCGTTGTATGAAATTCTTACAAACACTTTTCCTGCTGACGTTGTTTGGGTGAAGGGGTTAGCACCCTTCATTTCCCCTGACAATGTCGTTTCGTGGCTTTGTTCAACGGCCAGTGTGTTTTGGAGCCTTACTAATTCATCCAATGCAATTCTATTTTCAACGTCAGCCTATGATGTGGTTAAATATACAAGTAGCACACGAGAGGGCGACATAATTAAAGCAAATGTTTTTCATGTGCATGGGTTAACATTGTCA